CCCAACTCCGCCCCTTCCCCAAAGTCCCCGCCCCAACGCTCCGCCCCCTGCTCCCCTGAACGCTCCGCCCCCTGCTCCTCCCCCTCCCCTGCTTCCCGCGAATCAAATCAAATGTTCGCGGGAAGCCTGAAACAGGGAGGCAGCAGGTAAGCTGGGGCTGGGGCTGGGGCTGAGGCGGGGCGCAGCGCGGCCCAGTCCGGCCCCCCCGGCCGAGCGGCTTCCTCCGGCGGCCAGCCGGCCCAGGCCAAGAGGCTCTGGCCCCGGCGTCTCCCGCCCGACTCGGCTCGGGCCCTGGGGCGCCGACCCTGGTTCCGGCCGAGAGGCTCTGGCCCGCCCTGGCCCAGCGGCTCCGACCCCCGGCCGAGCACCGCCGGCCCCAGCGGCTCCGGCCCCCGGCCGAGCACTGCCAGCCCCAGCAGCTCCGGCCCCCCCGCCGAGCACCGCCGGCCCCAGCAGCTCTGGCCAGGACCCAAGCCCCATGACCCCTCCCTCCCTATTTTCCCAGACATGTCCAGCTTTTGGGGATTTCCTCCCGGACGGGGATTTGAGGCCCATGGATTTCCCATGTCCAGGAAAATTCGGACGTATGGTAATCCTATCCATGGGCATCAATGGGCCAGATCCTCTGCTGGTGTCAATTGGTGTCGCTCCACTGCTGCGTGGGGAGCCCAGGGATGGGGTAGCAGGGGTCCACAGGTCGGGAGTGAGGGGCACCGGCAGACCTGGGGGAGAGCAGGCCTGAGTTAGCAGGGGCTGTGGGTCGGGCATGAGGGGCCTCGAGAGAGCTGGGGGTGCAGGGCTGGGCTAGCAGGGGGCTGCGGGTTGGGAGGAAAGGGCGCAGGCAGAACTGGGGGGAGCCCAGGGCTCATCTAGCAGGGGGCTGCGGTTCGGGAGTGAGGGGCACTGGCAGAGCTGAGGGGAGACAAGGGCTGGGGTAACAGGGGTCTGCGGGTCGGGAGTGAGAGGCACCAGCAGAGCTGGGGGAGCCCATGACTGGGCTAGCAGGGGCTGTGGGTTGGCAGTGAGGGGCACCGGCAGAGCTGAGGGGGGACAAGGGCTGGGCTAGCAGGGGGCTGTGGGTCGGGAGAGAGGGGCACCACCAGGGCTGGTGCAGGGAGCCCAGGGCATCCCAGGGCTTCCTGAGAGGTCAGCAGCCGGGGGCAAAGGTCTGGCCGTGGGTGCTGCCGTCTCTGGTCACCGTCTCCCTTTGTTGACAGCAAAGCCACAGGAGGAGGAGAGCCAGCTGGAGACAGTGTGTGGGGTAAGAGCTGGGGCTGGGCCGTGGTCTCCCTTCGGTGGATCCAACGTGCCTGGGGTGGGAGGGGTGAGGAACTCAGCGCTTTCTGCCCTGTCCCAGCTGCCATCTCCCCCCAAGAAGCTCTGCCTCCCACTCAGCTGAGGCTGAGAATGCAATGGTGCCGACAGCCACTATGCAGCCTTCCAGATGGCTTGTGGAACTCCCTGCTACTGGATGCCAGCTAAGACCTTCCTCCCCCCCCAAATCAGCCAGGTGCCCCCCGTGTGCTACGGCCCGTATCTGCTCCCATGGACAGCCCTTCCAGGGGCACATTGGGGTTGATGTTTTTCCCAGGAGGCTGTGATTGGGGGAGGGGGTGCAGAGAAGGGGGTGGGAATGCCTCCCTGCCAGGTCTGTGAGTCAAATGTGGGGAAGTGAGTCCGTGGGGCAGGGTCCCCCATAGCTCTGAGACCCCTGCTCTGTGCACGGGGACGACGACACTGAGATCACTGACCCCAGTCTCCCCTCTCCAGCTGGAGAGCGCTGCCGGAACACCGTTGTAGGCTGGGCTCAGGGGACGGGCTGAGGATGGAGCCGGATTCGCATTCGGTCGTAGACCCCAACATGGAGGAGCTGTTCAGCCTTTTCTTGGATGAAGATAGTGACCCAGGTAGGGTTACCATCTGTCCGGGTCTCCCCGGACATGTCCGGCTTTTTTAGCTTTAAATGGCCCTCCGGGGGGGATTTCTAATACAGTAGAAATGTCCGGGATTTCCCCTTCCCCTCATGCAGAGTGCGGTGCGGCTGATTGGACGGCTGGGCCTGATTGAAAGCCCCTCGCAGCCACTGGAGCCTCTAGCAGCCAGAGTCCCTCCCCCTCCCCTGCTCCCTCCTCCCCCACAGCAGCGCCACAGTGTTTGGCTGCACGTGGAGCTCGCAGCTCTCCCTCGGCCTGTGGGGGGTGGGGGGGCAGGCAAGGGACAGGGAACGGGGGGGTTAGATTGGTCGGGGGTTCTGGGGGGGCTGTCGGGAGAAGGGGGTGTAGAGAGCGGTTGGGGCAGTCAGGGGACAGGGAA